TAATATTTAAGTAGTACCCCAAGTTTAAATTAAAGCACTCGTTCTATATGAAAACCGCGTGACTGTGTCTTTCAGCACCTTGAAACTCTAAAATCCGAGTTTGTGAGGAGCCGCTGAAGGCATCAACGGGTTTAGTACTGAGTGGAGCGGCTCCGGATCAGCAGAGCAGGACTGAGCGAGTGAGCGAGCTACGGTCTGCTGCAGGAGCAGGAGACGCAGACAGGATCGCTGTGGACTAACTTGCATCTCTACTTTAATCCTCCCAGGAGATGAAATCCGTGTTTTAACCTCGTGGAAAACTCCAATCCAGTCCAAGATGACGGTGGATTTTGAGGACTGCATTAAAGATTCCCCCCGGTTTAGGTGAGAGCAGAGAACTCAGTATCCTAAATGTCTCCTTGAACTGTTGAACGCATTAATTCTATCCATATTTGCTGGTGTTTTCCCCCCTAAATCTTAACATGTGTTTTCTCAGATTAAAATGCGCCACGCTGGTTGTCACAGTGATCAGCACTTTTATTTGGTACATGCTAGATTACAATCCCAGTTTGGAGCGTCATTCAGACTGTGCGCATTTTTTTCCAGCATCGTTTCTTACAGTAAGCACGATGATAACGATGAGCAACGCAGCCACATGAGTTGTCACATGGGCTGACTCTGAAGCTCCTGATATCTGAGCTCACAGCGCCAGTTTTCAATTCATTAGCATCTATTTGACATCTAAGATATCATTATCCCGCCCCTGAAGCAATTAAATATTTTTTAACGGAAATACTGCGAGGCTTTCGAGAATTAATCAAGAGCCTGCCATCATCTATACTGATTCCCATAATGAACGAGCTCCTTCCCATTTATGTTCCCATTAACTGATTACTGGTCTGAAATAGTTTAATTTTCTTATAAGAGAAGGAAAAGCAGCAAACGTTCACTACAGCAATCAGGTAAATGATCAAATAGACTGTCTGATTGTGTAGGGGATCCCTGGATCAGAGGAAACTGAAGGTTTCCACACAGACTATGCCAAAGCCCCTCACAGGGGTCCTCCAAAGGTTACATAAATAAGTAAGGAATTTTCTACACCCACATCTAAACCTGGTCCTGTGCTTCCAACAGAGTCAAGAGCCGGTCAGATGGGGAGGGGAATCAGGGTCATTTCCCCCTCCAGTGCAGTGCTGAAAGATACTTAGACATACTCAGAGATGAAGTAGCAGTGCATCAAAGTAAAAACAGTGCAAGCTGAAATCAGGCAAATGCAGTCAAAAGTTAGGTACTGGGTTTATTTTAATCCTGCAGAGTTAGTTTGTCTCTTGCAGATTTTTAAATCAATGCAACTTGTTGAATTTCTGTTGATTTATGAAAGCCTGTATATGAGGTGAATCGTACGTAACAAGGCTATGTGGGACATGATGCATGAACATGATGTGATCTGATTTTCTTTTGTGCTAGATTTTCAAAAATGTGAAGTCAGACTATGGAAAAAGGTGCAAAAAGAGGATGGGTAGTTAAAAGGTGCTAAGCAAAAAACCAAATAGTTGCACAGACTAACTTCTTCAACTTTTGTGTAATCCTATCTAATCTGCTTAAATAAATAAATAAATAAATACGTTTTTATTTTTATGGGCCTCAGCTGTAATAACGGGGATTCTTTGCCATAGAGTATGCTGTGATTTAAAAGCTTATTGCGAAATCTCTCTGATAAATGTGCAGCACTTCCTTCTGAAATGGAAATTCTCATTTAAAGTACCTTAAAAGTCGACTACAGTGAATATACTTCACTGAACTTTACTGTTTGCTCCCTGAGATAAAATCTCTGCTTCCAAATCAAAGACTTCCCGACTTGGCAGCAGCACCTTAATGACTCCCATCTGGAGCCGGAGGAAGGCACATCACGACCTTCTCCCTCCTCGTTTCATATGCAAAGCAGTGCGGCGAGGCCACAGCGAGACAAGCTGCATGTTAAACAGCCACCGTCCTCATTATTCAGAGCTCGGAGAAGCCTCACTGGGTCATGAATGGGTGGATAAAGTTATCTCCTATCTGTCGATATGGAGTGAAAATGTACCTCCTCCCCTTTTTTATGCTGCACATGTTTTCAGATTTTCCTTGCCTGCTGCAGAGAGATGTTCTCATAAGTGAGCCGTCCTCCAGTTTACAGTGCGTGGAGAGTCTTTTATCTGCTGCCCAGGATGTTTAAATGACTAGAAGAGATGCTGAAAGAAGTAAAGTAAACGTATGTTCTCGCAGGCGCTGAAGCCTGTAACAGTGTTTTCAGACACCATTCAAACGGCTCTTTTGTGGAGCTAAAAGCGGAGCTACAGTATGCTGTGTTATGTAACAACCCTGGAGGTGGATGACTGGGAGGAAGCAGCAGGGAAATCGGGTCTTTTTTACATTTGGGACTTGCGTGATTCATTCCTGCCTCCCACACGTGTAAAATCATGCAGGAAATAAGTTTTGAAGTATTATCTCTGACACTTGGCTGCCTTCTCGGTTTCCCAGCTCAAGGTTGGATGACTTCTTAATGGATTAGCTAGTGGAGCAAAAACTGCAGACAGTCAGGTTCTTCTTCTTCCACTTTAATGTGCTGTTTTCACACTTGCAAGAAAAGTAGCCTAACCTGAAATACAAAAATAGACTGTATACAAAAGATGTACGTAATCACTGTGACAGAATGTTCTGGTTTGTGGACTACCGACATGAGGAGACCAGTTTGTTCTTTCTTTTTTTGTTGAAGATGCTATGAGGTGGGTAATTAGTTTCAAAGACCAAAACAGGTTGCTTTTGTACATTTTACAAGACAAAGTTTGAGAAGCGAGGGTGAAATGGTTTGGACATTTAAGGCAGTGGATTGATTGGACTAATCAAACTTCAATTTTTGTGTTTAAATCTGTTATTTAAACGGGTTTAAATGCAAACGTGACGTGGAAATCACAAATCACAAAAATTGCCAGTTTAGAATAAGACAAACATATCATGCAAACTTGGTGCAGCTTTCTTTTTCTTTCAGCATCTCTCTTAAAGGGTGAATCAGTGAGAATCATCTGTCTCCAACTCACTCTCACTAACATCTTCCTCTGTCACAACGACCCTCTGCATGCCCTCCTTCACATCATCCAGGTTTTCCTCCTTTCCCTCTGCCTGGCAGCTCCATATCCAACATCCTTTGTCCACTATATTTCCTCTGCACATGTCCAAACCATCTCAACCTTGCGTTTCTAACTTTGTCTCCAAGCTGCTCAACCTTGATGATAGCCTCCCTCTTTATTTCTGGACTGCGTGAGGCAAAGTGACAGATGAAAAGATGGAGACCGTTACAGCCTGTACAGCTGTTATCTCACACACAGTTTTCAGATGCTGTTGTTTGTTTATACCTGGCACCTACACTGGTGAAGGCGTAAAGCTGTGAATGTTCCTAATCACACTTTTATGTGTTTATTATCACCCAACATGACACATCTGAAAGTCCTATCAGACACAAATATCACATCGTTTTGATTTCATCAAACAATATGAAGAATTGAAATCTCTTTGACAAATGGTGCCTTCACTCTCAGGACAGATGTGAGACTGCAGCCAGCGATGCTCTACACATCTGGACCGGTCTGTGAGGATTGCACTGCAGCACGAGGCCCTCTGTTTGTGTTTACTCTGGCACGTTACTGGCAACGAGCAACGTTTGAGCCGTTTTCTCCTCACTGATGTGTTAGTCTGACGTCACACTCACAGACTGAGCGAGCTGAGAGTCAAACACATGATCGTTCCTTTATTCTTTTCACAAAAGAAATTTGATCCCAGTATTTCTCACACATTACGACTGCGTGACGATGGCAGAAATTATAATCGCAAATATTTTGGTGATTATTTAACTCGACTTTCTAAATGTCAGACATTAGTTGAACTTTTAGGAAAAATCAACATTAGGACTCTTACAGTTAACGCATCCTTTAGTCTTAAGAAGTTTACCGAAAGCTTAAAGGATGTTTCATTAATGGCTGTTTTGCGATTTGGCGGGTTTTTTGGCGCGTCCGTTCCAGTGAGCTCCCAGTCCTTCAGAAAAATATGACCATTGTCCAGCAAGATTCTTGCTTCCGCTGAGAAACAGACTCTTTTCTCTGCGTCAGAATGGCCCAGGGCAAAGAGTCCAGATGATTCTTCTTCCCCTCCCATGTCAACAGCTGGGGGCGGCGAGCTGAGACAAGGCTGCTGTCGTGATGAGGGGCTTGCTTTGAGTCACAGCAGAGCAGAGAGCCCCGGCAGGCGGGGAATCCAAGGCCAGTGACCTGTGGCGCTCCCTGCTTCTGAGTCTCATAGCGTCTGTGAGAAAACGAGTGAACA